TTAACTTTGAGAGTTTAGATGTTCACGTGCAGGTTTTAGAGGTGCTAGGAGACATGAGCTGTCCGGCTGTGAGGACAATATTGCTATAGTTCACATTTTGCTTTTATGATTTACCCCTCAAAGTCAAGTCAAGTTACCACGGCGCCTACAGCACTGCGCACATCGTCTTGGCGGACCCCGAAGCTACGGGATGAGGTTGACATAAATGCCCGGATGGTCCACTATAGCCGCCACTCCGTTCGAAGCAAGCCTTACTGGGGCACACTTCTAGCAAAACACCTTTTTCTTCCCCCCCCCCCCTCCACGCCATCTCACTCTTGGTTAGCGTTAATTTCTAAGAACAATCCTGACGCAATTTCGAGGGCGATACTTACAACGACACAACGTTACAACTTACTAGTTTCCGAGTAGGTCATCTCAACAGCAATGCGGTGCACGCTTTTCATTCTATCGTTGGCTTTTTTCGCTGAATTTCAGGTGAAACCAGGTTGTTTCCCAACTCGAATGATGAAAAAAGGGACCAGGAAAATGGTGTTTTTCTTATCAAAATCTTTTCATAGAATGAATGTGATCACTCGCAAAACTTCTATAAATTATAATTCGAGTTTTCCGCTGAAACTGATATTTGATGTTTAAAACCGCGAATATTCTCCGAGACCACATCTCCGGGGCTACGGGAGATTTCTTATACTGTTTACCTTACGATATAGGTAGCCGTGACCCAACTATACCGACTTGCTTGTTTATTTATTTTTTTGCTTATTCAATAATGTGAGCACAGGTTGTCGCATTTTATGTAAAGGTTCAGTTACGCCCTGACCGTGAAAAAACTATTGGGCTAGCCTCGGGCCTTGAACCGAAACTGATTGCAATTCACCACTGTACCTGAGCAGGCAGTGAAGCTCGTGTTAGGTACCGCACAAAGAAAAAAGTATTCAAATGGCCAGTTTTTCATTAAAGGCAAATGGCACGATAAATCCCCCAAGACGACTAGGATCAATTCCCCTGCAGGATAGAATTCCGCGACCCTGGGCAGGCGCTGCATAGCAGTTTCTCCGAGCTAAGTGCCCTTATAGGGGCCTTCAAGCTACATCTTCAACGCGTCCAAACGCCGCGCCACGCGTGCCGCCGCCCGCGCAGCCTCCCGCCACAAATGGACGACCATTCCTGACGCTCGTATTCATTCACTTCCTAAGCAAATTGTGAAGCGAAGGGATTGGTATGAAGCGGTCGTGATGCTGCCATGCATACATGGGTAGCAGTCCTCATCATTGCGGACCGGTGGGGCGTGGCAGTGCGGCTGCATTTGGTGCGGTTTGGCAAAGTCGTTCTGCACCAGTTTTTGAAGCGAACAAGTGCATTACTGTATAATATCCTTCGTATTACTCGTTTTCTACCACTTTTTTGTCGCATACGCGTTGCAACAAAAGGCTGAGAACGGCATTCAAACGGTTCTGCGCACGTCCTTCTTGGGCTGACACCCCACCGGTTCCGCACAATCTGTACACATATGCGAGTCGTAAACTATCTTCGAGTAGCGGGAGACTCGCAAGATGCCTACGCGTAAACTCGGTCCGAAAGTCGGGAAACTCGTCCGAAATCGATTTACAAGTCACTGAGAACGGAGGCTTTTTCTTCGCAGGATTTTGACCGTTTCACTCCGTTCTTTCGCCATTTCCCCACTATACAGCGCCCTACTAGCATTTTAGGCTAAGTAGGAAACCATCGTGCCAACTGCCTTTAAGTGAATGGAATCTAAAAACATAATCAACAAGTAATCCAATATTTATCTACTCAAAAATCCCATGCTTCTTGAATTTGGGGTTCCAATGTCAAAAACTCAAAGCAATTCAGGCTCGATACCACTGCAGAAGCTGAACTTCTTGCTCGCTAATAATGCAGTACTGGTTGGAATATTGTCTAAACTATGCCTGATGAGGCAGAACATCTTGGTCCATTTGAGCAATTCCCCCAGTTATTTCTCCTCTTATAGCCGTTGGCGTACGCCATTTCACTAGCGGAGGCGAATGAGTAAGGGCCCATCAGTCAATTTTTCTTGCGTGGCCGAGTTTGCATTGCAATGTTCGTACCATTAGTTCATCACATTAGCAGTGTCCAGCCTAGATCAACTGGGGCTCTCTTCTCTATTACGGTTACCAGATCTATCAAGGCCCTCACTGTCTTCTCGAAACATCTTGGATCTACCATGAATGTGTTTGAACGAATCGTGTAGCCTCAAAACGAATTTTGAAGCCATCCGCTGATATTAAATCGAGGTGTCCTTTCCGCTGAAAATTGAATTGAAATTTGATGAGGATGAGAATCTCTGCCGTTGATCAACCCTTTAGGAAAAGTCAAAAAGCGACCTAGAATATGGCAGTAAGTGTACCGGGAGCTGTTATAAGTTAGCTCCGAATTTTCCTCGTTTTCCAACTTGCAAACTTACCTCATTTCGAGCCGATGGAGAACTTGCCCTGTTGTCCTGCAAGCAAATTATAAAAACTGACGGGAATCCTCTAGCAGGGCTGCCTGTCACATGCTGAACAATACCGAAGAACGAGCAAGCAGTTACAACCCTGCTGCGCCGGAAACGAAAAAGTGAAAAACAGCTTCCCGCGAAGTTGCGCTTGCCCTTTGATACTTCGCAAACTTGTCACGAACACAAGCAGCCATCCATCTCATCCTTTTTCTTAATCTTATTTTATAACCTTCTGCTCGCTCTCTGAGTACAAGTGACGCTGTCTCACATTTTTAGCCACTTTTTCCATACCACATTAATTCCTGCACGTATTTTACAACGCGCCATGATGCGCCTCATTTCGAGCATTTGTTGTTGACTCGTGCTGGTCGAGGAGCACATCAGTTGTTCCGTGGGATCACGAGTACCGCCATGCAGACCATCACCTTTCACTTTCAGGTTGCTCCTGCTGAGCTCGAAGATCTTCTGCTTGCCCACCCTCTGATCCGCGATGCCGCCGTCATCGGGGTGCCTAACAAGAAGACTGGCGAATTGCCGAAAGCATTTGTCGTACGAGCTTCGGAAGCGTTGACTGAAGAAGATGTCAAGGCCTGGATCAGCGGTATGTTCAACTATCTTGGAGGGTTTCTCAATCTTCAGCACCATTTACCCTCCACTGCACCAGTCATCCGAGATCAGGCCAGTCTCTGACTGACATTTTTCTCCTTGGCAGAATTGGCTAAAAATTTGCTCCTGGGGTAGTTTGACCTCCTGAATACGAATATCACATCTGCTTGGCCTGGGAGCGCCTTGCTTGTCCGTGGGGTAGTTCGGCTTCGAGTACCACATCCGTATGGGAATGTTTAGGATGCAGTCAAAGGGGTGCACGTGTAGCACAACCTGCTTCTGCTCGTCTGCACCTTTCCTCCAAGGTAGTGATGCTTTCCTCTGCTAAAGCTGAGCCGGGGAGGAATCATTATTACAATCAGAAAGAGTGCTGCGTTTCTTCACCGTTTGCCTAACTGCCCTAGCACACAGCTCTGCACGAAAGCGACTGGAGCTCTGTGCTACACGCGCCGGAGTCGCAGCAAGCATGTCATGAGTCGCTTGTGACGTATCAGGCGGTTTCAGACTGAGCGGATGTAATATTCGTTTCCCGGAGGTCAATCTATCCCATTTGACAAGTTTTCAGCGATTCCAGTGATTTGAAGTATTTTGGTGCCGGCACCTGTGGCGCGGGCGCCAGAAGGATTTAGGGCCAAGCGGATGTGATTTTCATGTTCAGGAGGTCAAACTACCCCAGGCAACAACTTTTGGGCCAAGCCTGCTCACGGAGAAAAATTCGGTCAAAAACTGGCTTTATTCCTGATGAGGGGCGGTGAATAGTGCCCACACTTCTTTCCTGATTTGTATACTTTCAGATAAGGTCTCCCCCTACAAGCAGCTCCGCGGCGGTGTTGAATTCATCAACGAAATTCCAAAGTCAGCCGCCGGGAAGATTCTACGACGTGAACTACGGGACCGATGTAAATCGAAATTGTAAATGAACTGCAAAAGTTTGTGCCAGAAACGCAGCCGCTGACCCGTAGCGATAGCTTAGAGACATCAGAGGGGCGTATTACTGTAGATAATAGCAGCTCGAGGGGTGACGATGTGGCTGCGTTTCTGGCATCGACCACTTTTTCCATACTTCTTCCATATCACAGCAGTCCCGAACGGCCATCATACGCTAACAGGTCAGACTGCGATATCACTGATGTCAAACCCACCTAGATGCGCTTGTCCATACATATAAAGTACGCCTCCATTAACCATACATTCCGTTCCGAGCATGTTTAT